CTCTCTCTCTCTCTTCTCTCTCTCTCTCTCTCTCTCTCTCTCTCTCTCTCTCTCTCTTATTCCCTCTACGTGAAATTAAGTAATTTATATTAGTGCTTACGTCGCGATAAGATTTATTCTATTTAACTGATGCAAGTTAATTAAAGGCTTTAATTTAATTAAAGTCCACCTTAATTAAGTGGCCATTCTTACCAGTGTCCCGGACGCGGCTCTTGTCGCATAATGAGTCTCGCGAGACATGGAAATATAAACGTACAAAGCGTCTATGTAGCTCGCGCTTAGGGAAGGCACAAACGCAACACCAATATTCCAGAAATGCAGGCGTTTGACAGAGGAATATAGTATTACCTCTCATTGCAATGTATGTTTATCAACAGATAATATTGTCTTATCGATTCTTGTTACAAGTGACAATGACGTTGTAAATCTTATAAAATAATACAATAAATATATATTTGACATATTTATTTGATATATTGTTTCTTCTAAAATTATTTGTATAATTTTCATTTCATTTTGACATTTTTCAAATTATTCAAATATTCATTTTAACATGGTAAATCTAAAGAACATTATAACATTATAATTGCAAAGGCCGAACGTCAAGAAAATTAGAACAGCCGGTCGCGTTTTGTGAACGAACGGTCAGAAGCTTTTCGCGAACTTTTAATTATCTGAAGAGCCTTTTAATAAAGAGATTCCATGCGATCCTATGACGTCGAAAATAATTACAAGTTTTCATATGAAATTCGAGAGACGCGCGGAAAACGGATTGCCAAACGGCGAACGTCCATCACAAGAGCACCGCGAGATCAGTGACATATTGTATGCGTCGGGATGAGAGTAACGGAGAAAATAACTGAAATTTCTCGAGGCAGAATATTAATCCTCCGCTTTCATCACCCCGTCGCTCTAAACAAAATTCCGCACACGGCGAGCAAATGCATATAACGAACAGAGGAAAACGCCGCAGTTCCACATTAAATTCCGGGCGTTTATTCTTTGATAATTCTAGGTAGTCTCCTTTGAAATTTAAATTGCAACATAATTATCAAGCTTGTGGCGTAGAGAAATAGCGAACAGTTAAATTACGAATGTATCACTGAATGTGTCACTGATACGCTTAAAGAAGATTATGTGTGAAATGCGAAGAACGCTTTACAGATAAATCAATTTGTTAACTCTATTCTCTGAAACTCAGTGACGATTGAATCTTGAATAAAGTACATCGAAAATCAAATTGCGATTTAATCGAATCCATTTTAGCTTATCTCGATAGTAATCGGAGGGAACAATCGAAGCTCATTCACATAGATTATTTACGAAAGATACTGTAAGCGATGTTGTAAGGAGCGCAAATATCACCGCCGCGAAACCGGAAACAAGGTATTGAAATGCGCGATGCGAGTAGAGCGATGTGTTAAGCACGCAAATCGGGTGTCCCATAAATTTCCAATTTCGAACATTCGGAGAAGAGTGCGCTGCGCCGCACCAGAACAGATCGCTCAGGATTGCACGTTGTATATCTGGTGCGCCATTGCGGCGCAGTTCCAGCCACGCGGCGTCGCCAAAGCATCGATATGTATGCAGGTCGACTGTATGAGAATTTGCGCGCGCCGATATCCGCGCCGATATTCTCCCTTTCCGGCTATACACGACACGAGATACGACGCCGGCGGGGTTGACGCACCCCGTCGGGAAACACATGTCGCCACGCGCCGCGAGGGATAACGCGCTGATTGGAGGCTTGCGAGACGCGCGTGTGCTTCCGTGAGCAATTCGCGTACAATTCGCACAAGAATCTTAAACAAACTTGCTTAAATAACTTGGTTAAATAATGAGACCGTTCAAGCGCAGCGAAACGTGATCGTCCACTTTTCACAAACGAGACTCGATTACGCGCACCACATTGAACGTGATACTTCTCATCTTTGTTCATTTATTTATAGCTTGAAACATTATATCATACATTATATTTCTATTAATAATCTATCCATAAATGTATTCGATTTCAATTATATAAACTCGCGGCTATAAACTCTGCATTGTGCATTTGATTTAAATACAGCTTATATTAATTATGGAGTGTAAAGATCGATTATATTATAATTGCTCTAATACCCTTAGAGAAGACAAAATAGCACACGGCTATTATAATATAATTCTAAAGTTGAATTGAATTTATGTAAGTAGAGATATATATAGATTAATGTTTTTTTAATTCGCACAATTTATTTATATTTCTTACTGTTTTTATAAAATTGGAATGTGATATTTATTTTCAATTTTATATAGTTGGCACTTCTTTTTTTGAACATGCATGTTTATACAATCAGTCTTTTGGCTTTCATTGGTACACAGATGTACGCATTTTTTGAATTTTACGACGAATTGATATTGCTTACAATGCGTCTATTTACATGATACCTGGAATTATTCTGTCCAAGATATCAATAGAATCGAGGTCCATTCGGATATCGACTTCGCGATAACCATCGAGACAATAGGAAACAACGTGGTTGAATAAACTTGTTAAATGACTGGATACGGATTTGCGCACAGAAACTTCGTTGAGACGGAAGGTGTATCGTGTCCGGAAGATTGCACAGATCGATTTTATACGTACTCGAGAGCTCAATAGAGTTCATTGTTCCTGAGAAAATTGCAGGATATCGATGAGAAAGAGAGAGAGAGAGGGAGAGAGAGAGAGAGAGAGAGAGAGAGAGAGAGAGAGAGAGAGAGAGAAAAAAA